CCCAGGAAATCACAACTGGATACAAAGCAGCCCCAATGGAAAATCTACATCACAGCTCCCGCATCTATGGCTTAGGAAACATCGAAGAAGAGTGTGTGAAAAGAGCCAGAACCCTTGGAAGTCGGCTGTGAAACAGTCTCACCTCGAAAGACGGTATAAACAAAACCAGAACAGCGGCATTATCAACGGACCTGGACAGGGGAAGTTTCACAGGGTGCCCCCTAGCGGAGAATTACAGGCAACGATAACAGCTGAGAAAGAATTAACCTCTCGGGGAAGAGTGCCCTTAATTGGTTGTCTAATGGGGAGTGGTCAGCACTGAAACCGTTCACACACACACACCAAAAAACGGACACAAGAGGTTATATCTATTTATTTGTGTATACGTATACACGTATGTACCTGTGTGTAACAATAATAAGGAAAAAGAGGCTAGGGATTCGAGAATGTACGGGACATAGGAGGTGATAGAGGAAGGAAAAGGAAAGGCGGAACGTGGTGTGATTGCATTTTAATCGAAAAAGATGTAAAAAAGTAGAAAAACAGGATTCTCCAATGTGCAAAAAGTTTCAATGGTAAAAGAGAGAGTCTCTCATGGAAAAAGAAAGTTGAAAAAATTTTCTCTTTGATTAAAGATATAATCTAATGAAAGTTTCAAGAGTGGAAGAAGCCAACATTTTCCTGGATTATTAAGAAGAAAAGATGTCACTAGTGGAGTAGAAGACCTTGATGGTGTGGGGCGGGACTCATCTGTGGCAGACTTTTTCTAAAAAAGCTGCTTGGGAAAGCAGATGTGCCCAGCCTACTGAGAATGAGGAGATGACCTGGAATAGGTGGTGCTCAGTGGGCAGCAGAGCGATGGCTTTGATGGACCAGGGATGGTTCAAGTGGTAGCCATGGAGGTGAGGACAGCCTTACCCAGGCACCTCTGATGACATGGGGGCCAGTGGGTTGGCCTCTTCTTCCCCCACTCCGCCCCTGTCTTCTTTCTTTGAATTGCTACTCCCAATCTTCTGTAGGCTTGGGAACCAGAATCCTCTGTAAAACAATGCCAACAGCTTTTAGGAGAAAGGTTCTGGAAAGATGAGAATAGGAAGAACTAGGAATCTGCCTCCTGGTTCAGACAACGGGCCTCATGGAGGAATCGTTTGGAGCCAGTCTTTGTGACTCTCAGCTCTATCAGAGTGGCAGTTCCACCCCCATCCAGCCCCACCACACCACACCCCACCCCACCCCTACCACACCCCTTAGCTTCTGGTAGGAAGTTGTGTTTTTATTCCCAAAGGAGAGTACACACATTGGGAGAGGCTTGAGGAGAGGCAAATTAATAATGATAGTTAATAAATTAACAAACCAGTTTTGGGATGTGTTCGGTGACTACAGCTCATCTGCACATCGGTGCAAGGAAGCAGGCAGGCTTGGTGGCGCGCCCCTTTCCTTACTGTAAGTCTCCCCACTTCTGGCTGAAGGAACTTCTAGAACATTAGAGAGTCCAGGACTTTTTCCTCCCTTTGTTTTTCCCTTCTTCTTTTGGGATCCGACACTGAAGACTAGAACATTCTAATGGGGAAGTTAGGAAGTCTTCATGTCGAGGGGAGAATGCATGCTCAGACAAAAACCTAGGACGGCTTTCCACTTTCACCTGGAGCAATGCTCAGCACAGAAGTAGCCACTGCAACTGAACCCAATAAGCCAACGCAGGCAAAAAACTAACAGCGCTGAAGGAAGGAGGGTGCGCAGTGCAGCTACTGCAGGGTCGGGCTGAAACCTTAGGTTCCAATGCCAGCGAGAACAGCACAAAGTATGCCGAGAACTAAGCACGCAAGATCCATTAGCCGGGTGTGGCTGCACACTTGTGATCCCAGTACTTGGGAGGCCGAGTCAGGATGGCAGAGTTTCAAAACCATCCTCTGGTGTGGTAAGTTCCAGACGGGCCTAGGCCTCTCAAGACTGTTTCAAAACAAAAACAAACAGACAGAAAACTCATCCAAACGCGGGGTGGGGTTAGGGGTGGGGGGAGAGGAAATCAACCAAAAAAAGTGTCTCTGAAAAACATTTAATGGTAGATCTGCTAGACTCAGACTTTAAAACTCTTGCTTTATAGGTAGGTGCTCAAAGGACTGGAAAAAGATATGCAGAATATCACAAACTAAAACATACACAGAAATAATTGAGCAAAATAAAAATATTAATAAGGAGCTAGAAATTTAAAAATAAACTCCGGAGCAGAAAAATACAATAAACAAAATTTAAAAAAAAAATCACAAAAGGAATCAAAAACCCATTTGGGAAAGCAGAAGAAAGCATTGGCGAACTTGAAGATAGGACAATGGAAGTTGTTGAGACCTGAGCTTGGAGAGGAAACATTGAAGAAACCCCTAGTGAGTGTTGGAAATAAAATATGGAGTTGAAGGACCCAACCAATACCACACAAAGAACACAAAGACACAGCTAATGTAAGCTGGCAAGAGAGCTTTACTTCTGCAAAAGGCTGTCCTGGCTAGTTAATTCAGCAAGGGCACAGCCAGAAATGCAATGGTTTTTTATCTTAAGGTGAAGAAACTATGTCTTACATGGTTTTTTGCAGCTGACTCGTTTTTCAAACATCTGAGAAAAGAAGATGAAGGAAAGGATTGGCTGCTCTCGGTCACTCCTGGCCATCGAGTTTCAGAAATGAGTCGGGAACACAGCAGGGCCATCGTAGACAGTAAGTTTGGCAAGGTGGGAGAGGCAAAATAGTATATAACGTCACATTCCTGGGGTCCTTCTTTTGATATAAAAGATTTAGATTCCTTGTAACTATGTCCCTATCTCCTCTTTATTACACCAGCAAACTTTTCTTCAAATTTTACTATCAATTTTGGAATAAACATTTTTTTTTCTGGTTTTGGTTTCTTTACAAGTAGGTCATCTTGATAATGAACAGGAAAGGGATGGTTCAGTCAAAACTGTTTCTGTAAGGCTCTGGGCTGAGTCTGGAACAGCGGTGATTACGTCACATCCTGTAGAATCATGACTCCAACCATTACAGACAAGGGTATTAAAATGACATCACCTTCCTCTTCTGGTGGCTGGACCGTTGTGCTTTGGCATCGTAAAGGGGTCTTCTATCCCTGAATTTTCTGCTAGTTCATTAGGGAGGCCACTGGACCTTGGAGAGCTTCCATAACGGTCCCATCTAGGATAAAGGCTCAATGTTGTCCTTCCAACATTACACAGACTACATTTTTTTACACATACCTTATCTCAAACTGTCTCTAACATTAACCTACTCTCCCAAGCCATTTTGTGCATGGGGGAGGGGGGATAAGTTGCTCAGCTATTCCTTTGACAGCATCCCAAGAATAGCTAATAAGCCTTTTAGTAATAAATATAGCTAATAAAATCTACATTTTTAAATAGTATCCACTCAAACAAGGCCTGTTGAAAACCAGCGGCTATTTGGTTTCTCACTTTGAATCCATTTGGGACCTTCTGGGGGTGCTCCTATCTACGGTGGTCCACTGAGCCTCCTGGAGTCAGTCTCTCTTCTGAGCTGGGTTGGAATGTCTACATGCTTAGTGAAAAGGATGGCCAACTGGATTGAAGCACAATCTACAGGCAAGACTTCAACAGTCTTTTTGTTTTGTTTTGTTTTTCGAGACAGGGTTTCTCTGTGTAGCCTTGGCTGTTCTGGAGCTCACTCTGTAGACAGGCTGGCCTCGAACTCAGAAATCTGCCTGCCTCTGCCTCCCAAGTGCTGGGATTAAAGGCGTGCGCCACCACCGCCCAGCTCAGGCAAGACTTCAAAGAAGGGTTCTCCACAACACCTCCAGATATCTGCTTCTGTGACTGCCAGGGCTAGCTGTTAGTCATCACACTGGATGACCGTCCTTCTCCGCACCCAGTTACAATGTCCACTGAGTCAGTTGCTCCCTCCACCTAGGGAGAGCATGAGAAGTAATTAGGCCTGGGAAAAGATGCCCCTAGGCATCTTGGTCTTGGAAGAGAGACCATGCGGTACATGCCATTCCAGTAGTCCCATCCCAATGGAAAGAGAACTATGCGATCCTCGGGTCTGACTGCTCACGTGTGCTTCGTGGAGTGTGTGGAGGGAATGTGTTACCCATTCAGCCAAACATTTGTCTCCATACCCTGTCTCAGGTCTATTTCAGGTCTTTTAATTATAGCAATTGTCACCTAGGCGGGGTCATTCCTAAAAGGCTTGGGAACATTTACTGGTATAGGGGACAAGGAAGGAGCCAAAAGTAGAAGTGGAGACCCTGGGGACAAGATTGGATCATTGATTATCTCTTTATTCACCAGATTCTGGCCTTTGCTACCAATGAGACTCCACTCTCCCTAGATTTTTCCAAACATGTGGACCACCCTAAAGGTATATTTGAAGTCAGATAGATTGTTTCTTCCTTTTTTTTCAGGTGTTTTAGGGCTTGGGTGAGAGTGAATGATTCCCACCAGTGCTGATCACTTATTAGGTAATTTCCACAACTCACAGATGACTAAGTCTCCATCCATCAGAGGGTGATAAGCCGTCATGACTCTTCCCCTCGATTGCTCAGCAGGATCCAGCTATAAAGAGTTAGAGTCCTTCCTGGAATCGAGCTTCTCCAAGATCAGGCTGGACTAACATCTGACGTTCTCTCAGGTCTAAGCAGTAATGTTCCAAGAGGCTTGTTCCCTACAGGGAATTCACCAGGACTGAGGGAACTGTTGGTTGTAAAAGATCAGGTCATCTTTTCTACAAGGACAACGTCATATCTGAGAACTCTGCAGCCCGTTGCTGGTTTTCTGCCCTCTAGTTGAGGATAACACTAGCCTAGTAGGGGACACTAAATGTCAGGGAACCCCAAAAGTCAAATTTCTCTTTTCTTTGGTTAACAAGATGATGACTGCCACTGACTGGATACATTCAGGCCATCTTCTCAGTACAGGGTCTAGGAGTTTAGACAGGAAAGTTATAGGCTGCCTTTCCTCCATCCCGTGCCCCTGAATTAAGAGTCATGCTTGCCTTAGCAGCACATATGCTAAAATCCATAACCATACAGAGAAGATTAGCATGGCCCCTGCTCAAGGATGACATGCAAATTTGTGAAGTCTTCCATGTTTTTTCTGAGGCCCTGTCACATATGGAGCAGAGGACTGACTGCTTAGTCAATCCCAGTGGGAGTGGGTTGGGAGAGTCAGTAAGTCCCTGGGAACAAGCTGTCCATCTATGTTTCTTCTTTCCTGAGGATTTTCCACTCAAGGGCAAAGGGCATATTGGTATAAAGCCTAGGTTGGATCCAGAGACTTAGACAGCTGGTGCTGACCCGTATGAAGGCATCAGTCTCCCACAGAACTGAGGATTGGGTCTCCAACAGTTAAGCATCTCATTCACTCTCAGCTTCTGGAATGGCCAAGGCAGTAATTGTCATTCCCATGACATCTTCTTCCTCTTCCTCTTTTTTCTTCTCCTCCTCCTCCTCCTCCTCTTCTTCTTCCTCTTCTTCTATCTTCTCCTCCTCCCCATTGTTCTTCTTCTTCTTCCTCCTCTTCTTCTTCTCATCCTCAACCTTATCCTCTTCCTCCTCCTCCTTCCTCTTTTGGTTTATTGAGAAAAAGTTTTTCTGTATAGCCCTACCTAGCTGGCCACAAATTCACTGAGATCTACCTACCTCTGACTCCTAACTGCTGCAATTAAAGGAATATGCTACCACACTGGAGCCTGTGGCTTTTTCTTAACTTGCTCTGTGCATAAAGTCACCTAGTATATGCTCTTTTGGGCCCTACCCTACATTGCTAAGAGACTTTCTGTCTTTGAATTGTTACTTATCTAGGAAGTACTGACTGCCTAAACCATGGACCCACCACTATGATAAGGTTCTGGGACATGTCTCCTCAAAGTTAGGGTTCTTGACTTCTTCCCAGACAGAATTAGAATCCTGGATGAAGCTCCAAATATAACCTGGGTACCAAGGACTCCACCGACAACATGCAAAGAACATAAGTGCATCGTTTAGGTTTGGTTAACTTGACCCAAATTAGAGTCATCTGGGAAGAGGGTCCCTCAGTTGAGGAATTGCCTCCATCAGATTGGCCTGTGTGCATGTCTATGGCCTGTCTTCTTGACTGATTAATGGTTGATGTGGGAGGGTCCAGCCCACTGTTGTCAAGGCTACCCCTGGGCAAGGAGTCCTTGGTTGTGTAAGAAAGCAAGTTGAGTAAGCTATGAAAGCAAGCCAGTTAGCAGCGCCCCTCCATGCTTTCTGCTTCAAGCTCCTGCCTTTGTGATGGACCGTGTAAGATGTAATATCCTCTTTCTTCCCCAGCCTGGTCGGTGTTTATGTACCAACAGAAGGGGAACTGAAATGATGGGGATAAAGTGAAAGTGAACCCAGAAGGCAGCTCCTGCCTTTGCAGTAGGGTGGGTGCTTTGCTCAGGTAGCAAACACACTGAGCAAGGAAGTGATACATTTTATCCTGACCTGAAGGTGTTACTGTATCTTTTCCTCTCTGGCTAGCAGCTGATCTCACAATCTTTAGTAGTTGACCAGCCTTTTTTTATTTTTTATTTTTTTAAATGGCTCAAAGGAGATGAAGGAGAAATGGACAATAATTGGATTGGTTGCTCCTGGCCACTGAGTTTTGGAAATGCAGTAGTTGTGTAAACAGAAAGTTTTTACAAGGTGGGGAAGGTTTCAAAATAGTGTTACAAAGGTTACATTCCAGGGATCAATCTTTAGGTTAAAAAAAATGTAAATATATCCTTCACAAGCCAGGCTCAGCCATCTTTCTTCAATAAAGTATTTAAGCGAATCAAGTTACCAGTGGCAAGCACAAGCAGACACAGAGATTCAGTCTATGTTGACTTGTTGGGAAGAGGGAGAAAGAGATGTTCTGACCACCTCTTTCCCTGCCCCAGTTTCTTTTTGGTGTCCTGACTTGAGGTTTGGGCTGAAACAGAGGGCAAGACATATGGGAAGTTCCAGGATCCAGTCAGGTTTGCTCCCCTCCACCTTCCTGTCTCATTCCGGTCTCTTCTTCAAGGCCATCAGGCAAGGTGCAAGTATTTCCTGCAGGCGAGTTCACCATCTGCCTGGGCCCAGGCCTTGTGTGAGATTCCCTGTGAAATTCCAGTTCCTTAGGGTCCATTCTTTCAACGGCCTGATAGCCAAAGGGCAGGTCCAAGTATTTCTTTAGAATATACCAACAGGATGGGAATTTGCAATGGATTTTATCAAAGAAGCAATACTTTTTAAAATTAAATGTAGAAAATACTCGAATTTCACTCAAAATTACCCTAACGACACAAAAACTAAGTGAGCAGGCAGCATCTCAGGACTGAGGTGTACAAAGTTGGCTTTTGTTGTTGTTCTTGTTGTTTTTTGTTGTTTGTTTGTTTTTAAAAAAACCCCTGAATGAGATAATTAAAAGATACAGATATCTTTTTTTTACATTCAGTGTATGTTCGCGCGTGCGCACGTGTGAGCGTGTTCCTATGTGTAGGTATGGGTATCCGTGTGTCACAGCAGACATGTAGACATCAGAGGATGACCTTGGGTATCATGCTTCACTTTCTAACTTTTGAGACAAGGTTCCTTGGTCACCTATGTGTGTGACAAGCTAACTAGCCTATGAGCTTCTGGGGATTCTTTTGTCTCCGCCCACCCGCATCTCCCATAGGACCACCGTCCTTTCCCTCTCAGTGGTGAAGCATCTGAAGCAATGTGTGTTCTTTAAACATAATGGATGGAAGTGAGTATTCTCCTTATTAAGCGTTATGCTGCTGAGTGGTGCTGCTGAAAACTTGACCCCAGCACTTGGGAGGCAGAGCAGGTGGATCTCTGTGAGTTCGAGGCCAGCCTGGTCTACAGGCTGTGTGCTAGGGCAACCTGGGCTAGAAGCAGGAACCTTGTCTGGAAAAAACAACCAACCAATCAGCCAACCAACCAATCAGCCAACCAACCGGCCAATCAAAGTAAATGAAAGATGTGGCTCTCGCACTTAAATTAGTCCCAAAGCAATTTGCTACTAAAAGGGGGTGGGTGTGGTGGGAAGGACAAACAAAAGGGAAATTGGGGAATCCATGAAGCATGACCACCCTGTGTGGAGAATGATAGGATAGCTGTACTTTAGCTCCAAATGCGTAAATTACGTAAGCACGTAACAAACGGAAGTAAAGGTAACCAGCAGGTAGCAGACACACGGAAGCAACAAATGCACAGTATAATATCGTCATGTCAGTGCTTATGCCATCCAGCAGAAATGTCATGGAAGTCCTTCTTGGACTGTTTTCCTGGAGTTCCCGACAAGGGGTTTCCAGAAAGACCAGTGTTCTCTTCATAGCTGGCTGTTCACCATTAGCTGTTTGCTTTCTCCTTTCTCCCTGTCATAGACATGGGGCCAGAGTGCCCCAGGACAAGGCCACAGAAACAGAGAAGAGAAACATGAGTCTGCGACCTTGCCCTTGGAGTCAGCTCTGCACAAGTGTAAACAGCATGTGGTATTTATCAGTGTACTTTATATTGCAATTAAGGACAAATAAAACCCTGTGTGCGTCTAAAGCTTTTAAAATGTGCATAGCGACATTATTCATAAAGGCTGATGGGTAGAAACGACGCAAATGCTTCTTGACTGATGGACAAAGGAAACATTGTATACAATGGAATAGATGACAGCAAACAAATTAAACACAGACACACGGCCACCCGGAGGAATCCTGAAAACACTATGCTAAGTGGAATAAGTTCTCCTTGGGACAGTGAAGATCTCCACCTGTTAATAGCTGTACAACGCCCTGCCTACACCAAAGCCCACTGAGCTGCACTCTTTAAATCGTTGAACCGAATGGTGTTGTCTGTATGTCACAAGGTATCTGTGAATGTGGCTATTGGTAGAAGGAACTCACTGGACCCAGATGACAAGATTCCTGAATTTTTGAGAGTTAAACTGATAAATGGCCCATTGGCCTAGAAACAGAGAACTGTTCAGAATTGAAAAACGGCTCTTGACCCAGCCTACCATGAGTAAGGGATCTGCTAATAATCTTCCAAAGCCACAATAAAGGCATAGTTACTATTCCCATGGCTAATGAAACCAAGAGAATGTCAGGAAAGGCAGAGTCTTGCTGAGTGTTTACTCAAGGACTGTGAAAATAAGTGGTCTGAGGAGTCTCCTGTGGAGGAGGAACAAAATGAAAACTTAAGAAATGTACCCTACCTCACAGTGGCCAGCCTTCCTACCTCTCGGTGGCCAGCCTTCCTACCTCACAGTGGCCAGCCTTCCTACCTCACAGTGGCCAGCCTTCCTGCAGTTGGCCTGGGAGGATTTTAGACATGGTGCCAACTCTGACTTCCAAAGCAAGCATTTAGAACATTCATGCTGCCCCTGGCATGTGTATAGTCCATCAAGGGCTGGAAACCTGTCCCTTGTTTCTCAGGACATGAAGAGGTGTTAGATCCAGATCTTGTGGCATAGGATGAGATTTTGTCTTAGTCAGGTTTTCTATTGCTGTAACGAAATACCATAACCAAAAAGCAAGTTGGGGAGGAAAGGGTTTATTTGGCTTATGCTTCCACATTGCTGTTCATCACCAAAGGAAGTCAGGACAGGAACTCACACAAGGCAGGAACCTGGAGGCAGAAGCTGATGCAGAGGCCATGGAGGGAGTTGCTTACTGGCTTGCTCAGCCTGCTTTCTTATAAAACCTAGGACCACCAGTGGAGGGATGGTACCACCTACCATGGGCTGGGCCCTCTCCCATTGATGACTAATTGAGAACATGCCTTACAGCTGGATCATATAGAAGCATTTCCTCAATGGCACACAACCATCTCACAGACCTCTGATTTGACATGTTACCATCTGAGCTTGACTCGCTAGCCCCAGGTAACTCTCTTCTATTTCACTAGTGCCTGTAGAATCCTTTCGTGTCTTGTAACTTCTGAAAGCCAGGAGAGGGCATAAAGTACTGAATAAATTGCTTATCACTCAGGTTTAATTTGTCTTCTCATATAGTAAGTGTTTATTAAGACTATAATAAGGGCTGCTACGGAGATATTTTTAAATACAAATTTATTCTTAACAGCTTATTTTTAAACACCATCTTTGATGATTTTCCAAGTTCTTC